TACAAACGACGTACGGCCGATCGATGATACGAGAACATTGTCGAATGTGATTTATTCCTAACAGACCCGTTGTTTTAGACACCAAACGTTGCATAAAATACTGTAAAGTTGCATTTTTGACACCCGGATAGTATAAATCTAGATTTGTAACCCTCAAAAACGTAAGCCAGCCGAGTTACAGTCGAGAAACCGCGAAATTTTCGGACTTTTTTCAGTTTTTCGCAAAAAAAAAGTTATCAAAGGAGTACCTAAAAAGCCCAGAAGGATAATAAGACTGTATATTAAACAACGCGTTTCTGTTCAGAAACAATTCTTTGTAACGTCAGTTACCGTGGATTTAAATTAACAACGTTGAACTAATCTCACAATAGACGCGAGTTTTCTAGGTAACGTTAACGAGCACTCCGAACTTGCGTTATTTATGCACGTGGCAAGAAGGAAGTGCCTGCTTCACTTATTACCTATTTTCTCGGAATTATAATGAAACTGGAAACAATATTAATTGGTTCTTACAAAAGTTTGATTACTTTCCACGGGACGCTCGAGAAATTTCAGTCTGCGTTAATTCGGCCTGCATACTAAGCGAAAATCACCGAACGAAATTATAAATTTCCAACACGCGCGAACGATGCAACATTACATTTCAAAGTTAATACAACTGTAAACTAAAAGATATGCATGGTTTCTAGGTAAGCGCAAATATTGATAAAAATTCAGAGTAAAATTATGTTTATTTTATGCTAATTGCAATGATTGTACGCTATGTAGGTAGGAGAATCGATACCCTTTACGACGGTTTTTGCTAGAAGTCGATATCTCAAACGGTTCCGGAGATACAAGGCTTTAAAGTTTCCCGCTATAAATTCCTGACGCGCGGGGTTACGATTGAACGCTGCCCTGCCCCCCCACTCCTTCCAGGGAATGCGTACGCGATACTATTGCGATAGTACACGAGGAAAGAATGCGGAAGTAACTGACCACCGCAAACGTCACGTGGTTGAGGTAGGTCGGCGCCTGCGTGCGAGAGAGAGGCCCGAGCGTGCGAGCGAGAGGGGAATAGTTGGGACCGGGAAAAATACCCCACTCTTCCGACGACGATATCTCCAGAACGGAAAGTCAGATTTACAAAAACCGAAAAGCGTCTTAAAGGGGAGACATCAGCGCTTCTAACGGCTGTCTATTCGTTAAGATAGCATCGGTAGTTTCGGAGCTACAGCTATTCAAAGTTTCGGTAGTTTTAATACGTGTTTGTGCAGATTCATTTCCCTTTGTCCGTTCTTAAATATAAAAACGAACAAGGAAATATCGTTTTAATCGTCTCCGGTTAATTGCACCTAAATCCGAAGGTGTCGAAGCTACTACCACCGTGCGTAGCTACAGCTCTTGAAGAATTGAATAATTGTAACAAAAAAAAAAAAAAAAAAAATAATAGTTTAGCATATTCCAGAAATTATACGATTCAACCCTCCGTGGTTCTAATTACAATCAAGTTTCGCCCGAATCGGAATCGAAGTACGGAAATAACACGGTTGATTTAACGGGCGAACAATCGGGCCCGAAACGCACGTTGGTACGTAAACGTTGCGCTCTCACGAAAAGTGGGTAAAACGTGACCAATTGCGCCCTCTCTTTAAGCACACGTGCGGGAGTAATTTGCGAGGCAAACATCATACGATTGCAAATTCTACGGGAACGTGGCGAGCTACGACGTCGCTGAAGGAATTGAATACTATATCGCCGGCGAGCCGATAAATTCGCCACCGAGAACGGAATTCTAAAACGAGCCGTGGAAAACCGCGTCGTTTATTTGCAACGGCACGGACCGATTTGGTTTCGTTTGCTCGCAAAAAGATTTCCGATCGTCGTAGAGCGCCGGGAAACGTATCGGACTAGGTGCTCGCAGTGGCTTTACGTGAATCGCGCCTAGAATCACTTCCACCTGTAACCGTAATGAATCGACAGTTGAGCGAAAAAGGTATCGGGGGCAGAGTTTATTTTCAGCTTCAAAAATTCGAACGTATTCTAATATATCTCCTAACGCGTGTCTATCTCAGGCTCGATAAGAAGATGATCCGTGGATTCCTTTCGTGGAAATTGGAAAAGTTACATCCATCAGACAGTCCGCCGATAAAACACGCGCGACAGTAAGAGCAAAAACGTTCAGCTTTCCTGGGAGAACCGGATATCGATACTCTCGTTTCTTAACTTCGAACTTTTGAATATTCCGTAGAGAGGAAGTTGGAAAATGCGATGCCTGAGTACAGTGTTCTATTGTTACGAATAAAGTCGCCGTTCAGTTTGCATTTTCGTAGACGGGAGTCTGTATTAGAAAATATAGTACAGGGAAACTCATCTAAAGCTAGTAATGGTTGGTTAGTAAAATTCAAAGCACGTCATGGTATTCGACAGCGGCTAAAAAGACATGGGATTCTTAGTTGTTGAAAGAAGCTAAATTTTGTTAATTTCTACTCGAATAAATGATGTTCGATGCAAAAAAAAAGTAATTATTCTATTATCCGAAAATTCCCCTATCCAACCACTTTTGTCTCCCAATTAGTTCGGATATGGGAGTCTCTACTGTACTGAAAATTTGAGACAGCACCGCGAAAAAAGCTCGTATATCAGAACGCGTCGCGCGCGAAAGTTGAAATGAATTCCAAGTCGATCCCTGTCGAAAGAACGACGTTTGTTGACGAAGATAATTCTACCCGGGTCGAAGTCCGAGCTTCCGACGAAAGTGCACTTTTCCCTATCAGGTCGACCGAGCGCGCAAACACTCGCGGGAAACCAAACACAGAAATCGCTATGAATTTTCTACTCCAAACATTCAAATATTTTCACGACTCATCCGCGTTACGTACTATATGGACCAAAAAGAAGACCAGCTCAAGTGTCCTCTCGCGCAAATTGAAAAAGTTACATCGGTCGGACAGTCAATCAATAAAACACACGCGACGGTAAAGGAGAAAAACGTCCAAGTTTTCGAGGCGGATGAATTTAATAAAATTCAATGTCACATTGAGCGAAATCCTCGAAGGAGTAGATAAATGTCAGAAGCAGGTGGTAGTAGTATAAAGAAGAAAAAGGTATCGATCAGGCAAATCTGACAAATAAAAATTTATCATTTCTCTGAAACTGCTAAATGGCGTGCGTCACGTGTGGAACAGCGTTTCTCAAACCGTGACACGCGAAGTCTCGCGATAAAGAAAACATCGTGCTTCGCAGTGATATAACAAAAAAAAATATCTCTGTATTTTATTCGTGGTAAAAAAAAAAGCATCTGTCAGAAGTTTTCTCTCGTCGGCAATGAAAACATCAACACGAAAACTGGAAAATAAAATGCTTGAAAGTTTGAAACAATCGACATTTTTTTGTACAGTCCGATTAACATCGTTCCGTACACGTAATACGTTCATCATCTTTCGCGTTCCGTTCTGCTAGAAGTAATAGAAGACTTTTCATTTGCGACGAAACAGTTTTACTCGAAAATTTGTTTGATAAGAAATTTTTATGAAACGTATTGACAGAAAAGAGTAATTCTACTTTAACGAATCCGCCAAGAATTTTTATTTATCGAAAGATTGCACGAGGAGGCGATGCTCGAGAAACACTGAAATAGAAGATAAGGTACGGGTCTCTCAATAGCGTTTCCGCCTTTCATCGACCACTCGTTTCATTAAAAACTGTATTTTTAATAACATCGTTAAAGTTCGAACTCTCTTTGATATATAGAAACTAGGGAACGTACAGTTTCGGAGTATGAAGTGGCGTGTATGACGCTTTCAAATGCAAAGTACGCTCTTTCGCTAACTTATAAAGAGGTTCCGCTCGCGAAATTGCTACGCTATTCCTTCCGAAATTTCCTTGGGCGATCGGTATGCGGCGCTGGAGCTATTTCCCCAAAGGCTAAACAACTAACAACAGGTCAACGCTTCCTTTGGAATACGTGAAATAACGTTTCCGTATTCCGGAAATCTACCGTCGATATTAGATTAGAAGAAACGCTTCTAAAATCAAAGAAGCACTCATGTAGCGTGGCATATAACGACTTTTAACGAAATGAATTAAACGAATTTGACGTATCAGAAGGAGTATTTAATGAATTTCCTCCGGAAGCTTTAATGAACGAGAAAATTAAATGAATTTACTCCGGAAATACGAGAAAATTTACTCGACTGAATGCCACTGTTAATAAAAATTATCCGAGCGATTGAAAATCAAAGACGCAATTAAAATTGCTTACTAGTTGCTGAAATTCTTAACGGAAAATACGATTCACGTTTTGTTGGCGATGCGAAGAGTTAATAAGTTTCTTTCATTTCTTAACGTCGACTCGTTCTTACCCTACATTTGCCGAATGTCCGACGAGTTACGGACGTGAGTGCGCGTCATGACATTTTTCGCGATACCTATTTCCGCTTTCATAGAATCGTGACCACGTTACACATCAAGTTCCGTAAAAAGTTGCTTCCGCGGTTCAGGCAAGGCGAAAAATGTGTCAGTCGGAGACATTTCCTCCGACTACCTGCACGGATGGCAGCTGCACCATCCGACAGCTTGGATGTTATTTTTTTAAATATATCTAGACGTAGGATCCCGTCCAGACACTAATTACATCTACAAACAGAATTTCCAATTTACTCGGTAACAATTCTTCGACACTTCGTTCCTACAATCAGCTTCTTCCAACCATTCTTCCCCTCGATTCGCGACTCTCGCGCTCGATTTCACTTGAACCGTTTCTCCATTTTTCGCTCCGGGTGGAAATTCGCAAATCCATCGTCGCTAAATCAGCGAACGAGCGCCATTTAAAGAACGCCGGCCGTCACTCCCCCGTTCCTATTTTTCCACAGGAGAAGCGCGATTGCGCCTTCTGGCTTAAGCCTTCGATCTCGACTTTTTTATGGGGATTCAATTTCGAACAACGGTTCGATATTCTCGACACCCCCCCCCCTCCCGATTTTTACGTCTATTCGAACAAGATTCGACGATCCACGTACCTGAATTCGGTTGTCCCTTGCTGTTGGGCCGCGCAGATGGTGCTCCGTCCCTGGCCTCCACTTCCAGTGCGTATGCTCCTTGGTTCTCGCGATCGAAAATCACTTTTGTGGAGATCTCGCCTGTGTCCTTGTCGATCTCAAAGTAGTCCTTTCCCTCGTTCCTGACACTGTCCACGATGTAATAGGACACCTGGAACAGAAATCGCCGAACGTAAGGTGGTGGAAAGGTAACCGAAATTAGAAGAGGTGAAGAATTTCGCGAAAAGGTAAGCTGAGATCATTGGTATAATTTGAGGTATTAGTTTGGGGCATTGAAACTCTATGTAGCACCAGATTTAAATTTTATACTATGACATTAAAATTAGACTGACTAGGTGGCTTTCGAAGGACACCGAAATTGGAGAGGTGGAAAATTTCGCGAAAAGGTAAGCTGAGATCATTGATATATATTTTGAGGTATTAGTTTGGGGCATTGAAACCCTATGTAGATGTTGCATCAGATTTAAGTTTTATACTATGACATTAAAATTAGTTTGACCTAAACTCAGTGACCTTCGAAGGAAACCAAAATTGGAGAGGTGGAGAATTTCGCGAGAGGATAAGCTAAGAGTGCTGAGATCATTGGTACAATTTAAGGTACTAATTTGGAACACTCAAACCCTAGGCGAGAATGTTACACAAGATTTAAGTTTTATGATATAATATTAAACTTGGTCTGACTGGATCTCGGTACTTCTCGGGTACTGCTGGCAGAGCTTTCTGGGTGTAGCGTTTGTTCCTTTGGAAAAGAATCAAACGTTACAATAGCATTGTATGAAGCTTCGTTGAAAATCTGAGGACACAGTGGTACTACAATTGGTGTCTCGTAATGTACAATGATTGCCATCTACGCTGCAATATACACCATGGACCATACGGTTCGGGTACAACCATATTGGCTGTATTTTGTGGCTGCACGTGAGAGGAATCCCAAGCTGCCATTTCTTCATCTTGGACATAGCGAAAAAGATGTGCGAACATATGTCTCCCAACATAAGTATTAACCTGTTTCGGGAGAGTTGAAGATACGTTCTACGTTAAAGTAAAAAAATGGACGAGGATAAAAATGATACGAGTATCTGTAACACTATTGCGTCATAGAAAGTTTTGAAAATACTGTTCTACATAGAGAAAAAAAGAAACACGGGACATTCAACGCGTATCGACCCACGCGAATCATGTTCGTGACGCTTCCAACAAATTTGAACGAGAGGATTCTGTTAAAAACTGAGAGAACACGCGACGCGACGTGTAGAGAGTATATTCGATATTAGTTTGGAAACTATAATCCAGAATATTTGATGGAGTGGTGATAATATCGATGGCTGCGTCAATTAAATTAATTAAAAGGGAGTGCTCCATTAATAATACGTGCGAATGAATGGTAAATATGGGCATAATTGATGACATTAATGGTCACACTTCGAACAGACACAGGCAATGAAAATGTTCAACAGACAATCGATTTATCAATTAATTATTGCACGATTATTAATCGTAAGTAACTTGAAATTAGCGAGCGAAGAAAATTCTTTTGAACGGTACGGATTTTCGTTTGGAGTTATATATATGGATATACATGGATAGTACTTCGGTTGGATTTCCGGATTTCCACGTCAACGAAACTTAAGAGTCTCTTTTCTTTAGATTAAATCAGTGGGAGCGGTATTAATACGCTTCCTCCCGGATCTACTAATAGGGCTCATCAATAAGGCTTTTCTAGCGGAGCCTGCCTTAGACGTGATTAATCGTTCGATCAGTCTCCGATTCTAAGAAGAAATCAGATCAACCGCAACGTCGAGAAAATCGTCTCAAATGTAGCTATCTATTGGCAAAAAGTTGCAACACTCGAAGAATCGTTTGGGAAAATTGAATTTACAAAAGAAAATTTCCAATGGCCAACTAGAAATAATTACGTAGATTTAACACACGTTTGGACAGAACGACGAACGGAATCTGAACGTAATCGCAAAATCCTTTGCTCTCGAAAGGAGTTCGTGGTTTAATAACGAACACCACTTTGTCACAAAGTGCAATATTGACACGTTTCGAGTCGAATTAGGCCACGTCTAAGCAAGATACATCCAGAAAAGCATTTGTAATGAGTTCGACTGGCGGATCCGAGGCGGGGACGTATTAATATTGCTCTTTGTGCCGAAACCATCCCTACTGCTAAACCACGAACTGATTCTCGAAGCAAAAAACCTCATAATCGAATCATTAACGTCGGAACGCGTGACGTAAGCGACGTCGCATACTTTCAATCTCATCGGAAGTGTATCAAAGCTCGCGGAAGGGTTCATTAAAATATTCTAGAGTAACGAACGTCCTTGAGCCCTGTCGACCCTATTTCAACAGTTCTCTGCAAACTTTTCACGTTAAAAAACTTAGCGACGGTGTAGAAATATCGAGGCGAAACCGTCGCGAAAATTAAAGGCGTCTCTCGTGCATTCTGAACACTTTCGACGCAGCTGTGGTCAACGCTGGCCAGCCCTTTGAAAGTTTCCTTTTTTTTTTCAAACTGCTTACGACTCTTAAACTCTGATATTATACATGTAAACTTTCTGATCATTAAGATGGAGTTGCGAATAATGGAGTTATAAGTAAATCATTGAGATTTAATATTCTGAATTCTCTACGTGCATTATATCGATCGATTCGATCGCAACATTTCTAGTTTCTTCAAATGGTTTTAAAACAAATCCCGACGCGAAACGGGTAATAGATTCCCCGAAACCATAAAATTATCATTCTTTGATTAGCAATGAAGCTCGGATTAACAATTCGTACGCACTCGTAACGAGCTAAACATTACTTTCAACGTCCGCGTTTATAGCGCGATGACAGTAACGGTGAATAAATGTTTGTTTACACGAAGCGTCGTTAACGATTTTGCGCGACACGTTGTTTGCAATAAAACTGCGCGGCGTATAAAATTATGCCGCGACGAGGCTCGAGCGATTAAATTTAATTACAGTATTTTGAAGTGTAATGGTATTACGCGACGCAAGAAAGTTACACGGTGTTTCCATCACAATCGCGACTTTGACAAACACAATTTCACTCCGCGAAATTAACAAAGTTTCGGCCCGGAATAATAATACGTCCGTTTAACCCGATGGAAACTATGATACTTATTAACAGAAACTGAACCGGCGCTCGCGGGCTCGCGTCGATTCCAATTACGAGTTTCGATCGTAGACCATTCGTAACGATACATTCCTCGATTCATAACGATTCGGGTGAAAATATCTCGGACAACTAAAAAATGTACAAATGAAATACTACGTGGCCGGTAATGCTGAATTCTCGTGCACCAGAATTGCTTTTACTCTAGTTAGGTCGAGGCATCGTTACCAAAGTCAAGAAACCACCACTTGCTCCGAAATTTCTTTCGAGCTAATGCCGTCTGATTATCGATCTCCGATACTGCCAGCATCTCATGCATTTTACACGAATATAAATTCCCGCGATCAATTTATTTCAACCGTTTCCTCGTAAAAATGGTCAGCGTCTCCCGAATGAATTTCTGCGACGAAGTATAACATCGGAATAATCCTCGTTCCTCGTTCACTCTATAGTAACGAACTGATTACTGGCCAGAGTCATAAAGAGAAATACCTTGTTATTTTAATAGAATTATAATCAGATGAATAACGATCGAAACAACGCTCCAAACGGAATGATTATTAATTACTTAAAGGTGTTTAAAATTCATGCTGTGTTTCGTGTATCAGCTGAAATGGATACTCGCGATCTGTACGCTCACCTTATTGTTCGGGAAAGTGCCGTCCTTATCGATAGCGTTGACTTGAGTAACCTTACTGCCGACTGGTTCGCCCTCGAGTACAGTTTCTTGCTCACGTTCGGTGAACAAAGGTATTTCGTCGTTTACGTCCTCCAGGATAATGTGGACGGTCGCTTCAGATGCGAGTTGTTGGGCGCCATTGTTCTGCAGGAGAGAGAATTGCCTTTATCTCGCGTGTACACTCTATTTTCCGTTCAATTCAGTATCGTGACCCCAACTTTCGCGCGAAACGTAACCGTAATTAATTAGGGGCTGCGACGTTCAATTTGATAAATTAATCGAGGGACACCGTGAATTTAAATCGAATGAAAGGTGGAGATCTTGAGCGAGCCAATGAAATCCAATGGAATGCAAAAATAAATAATGCAAGGTATGTGGGTCGCCGTTGCGTTTCTCATCGTGTTTCGGATATGAGAAGAAACATAAATAAAATTCGTATCTGCTTTTATCGAAGGAATTGAGAAGCTAGTAGTTCGATGATAAAAATTCGTCGAATTCGACAGTCCTACGTTTCGAAATCAACGAAATGGTGACTCGATCGCTTCCTACGATGGCCACATATTTCGACACGAGTATCATTCCCGACACTTCTTCTTCTTCTTCGAACATCGCGAAGAAATCGATACGTGATGAAACGACTTCCGTGCAATTTATTACACACGCCTCGGTATTTTCGTGCCTTTCGTGTCGCGGGTTTCCAATTTCGATAAATTGTCCACTCCATCAGCCCGAACGGCTTCGGGTATTTTTGGATATCCCGGGCGAGTTTTTCGAGCGCTCGTTCGAGCAAATGAAAAGAGGTGGACGTCTTTTCACTCGCGAATGAGCATTAACGCAGAAATCGCGAGGGGGAGTACACTCCGTCGTCGCCGTGGTACTTACTGCCTCGAAAATACAGGCTACAGGTATTCCAGTGCAGCGGCACTGCCGGAATATAAATAATACCGCGATTCGTAAGCGGATTCCCAAGTTGCTCCGCTTCCAGTTTCTAAAAGGATTAAAGAACGTTGGTTATTTAACCATGGAGACTGTACTCCGAGGGCACTCAAAAACTTCGAGAGGAACACACTCGCTTGGGGAATGTCTCGACCGTGCACGGGATCGTGCTTTGAAAAAACGGGGACTAAATTATAATATTTTGGGGTGAATTTCCAGCGTGACCAAGATTTACACCAATGTGTAAAGCGTAGGTGGCTTGATTCACGATTAATCGTCGTAGGAAGCTTCGTTAACATTCCTTCTTTTTTTTTTTTTTGAAAGTTATATACATATGTACTCTTATTTAGAGTGTAAATTTGTATAACAACGATGTAACTTCTCCGATAAGTCGAAAAATAAAGCTTGTAATCAGTGACCATAACTGTTATAAGTGAAAAGAAAAAGTATCATGGTATAACAAATATTTCATCGACTTAAATCGTATTGGTTACAAATAAAGATTATAAGTGACCGAGAGTTTTCTCTTGATGCTAAATGTTATCGTCGAGAGAAATTTATTTCGATCGCTCATAATATGTTACCAATGAGAAAAGTTCATTTCGATGGCTCATAACAGTTATCGATAACAGAAATTTATTTCGATCGCTCGTAACAATTTTTAATCATTTTATTCTTCGATTTCTATTCCTCGTATTCTGCGTTGATTATCTTGAATTTCAATAGTAATCAATCTTTTATTAACGATTTTTATCGTTGAAAATTTTAAAATGACTCTTATTTTGGTCCCTGTAATAACGACGACCAAGTACGAATTTTACTTATATTAATTTCTTACAATGCTAGTCGATATCCCACACTTTCCCTGTTACAAATTAAACTTAACTATTATATTACTATACGTAAACTAATATTATACGACGGAAACTCGTCACGGTGTGCCCAATTTTCGAATCAAACGAAGAGCAGCCCCCGCGCGTTTCGTTATCCAGCACGCGCTGAAACCATATTTCAGGAATTCGCGGACTGGAAGTTCGCCGAGAGAAATCTAGAATGATCGCTGACAGCGTTCGGGATTCGAGCCAGCTACTCGGAGCCCGGCGGCGTCTTATTTCGCACGTACCTCGACACGTATGGTCAGATTGTACTCCTTCATGGTTTCGTAATCCAGCTGATTGTTGACCTTGATGTCCGCCCAGGTCTCATCTCGATCGCCCCGTTGCTGTATGTAAAACGTGTGAAGCTTGTTGGTCTGTGCCGTGGAGCCGGGCATTAGCTTGTAATACACCGTCGGATTATTGTCGATCCCCGAGCTGTCGACACACACCAGAGTCGCGTGTTACAAAATCGTGCCGGGTCCGCAATCAGCTCCGCAACGGAGTCGACTTAACAAACGGAAACGGGAAACGGAAACAGAAACGAGAACGGAAATCTCCTAGGGTAGACATATGTATATCGAAACAATACAAGACTAGACAATATTACCGACTAAGAAGAGAGGACTGGACGCGTACAGTACTCGAAACGAAAGATACCATCATGCGATTCGTCGGCTGTACCATCCATTCGTTTCTTGCGCTACTGTTCTTTTTTTTTCTGCTATTCGTTTTTTTTATTTTTTCATGTGTTTTTTATTTGTATCTCTTTTTGCCCCGAAACGTCCCTGGCTCTAAAAAATCGTCGAACCGCGACAACTATCCGAGGGATTCGACGTGTTTTTGCCTAACGCGTCGCATTTCCCGTCGTCGCCTGCCTTTTCCGTTTCTAGAGTGCGTCTAGGCCGCACGTGATCGGAGTCAAAAGTGTTTGGTACATCCACAACCTAAGCACACCACGGCCACGAAATACGATTCTCCGAGTAGTCTCGTTGCTAATTCTAAAGCTACCGTCCATTGTCCGCGGCCCAGCTATCATTCCCAGCTATCATTCCCAGCTACCATCCCCAGCGAGCGGATACGTTTAGAGGTGTCTTGTCACGATGCGCCGAGGTGTTCGCGCTCTACCATGGAACGTTCGTTTCATCGTGTTTTGCGATCCTACGAGAACTGTCGGTCGACTGAGGACGATTTTCAGAGGCGAGGGAGCTAATTAGATCCTCAGAGGAATTTACGAATTGGATATTCGTCGCAAGAATCGACGAAATTTCGTGGATTTTATCGACGCTGCTCCTGGACCTCTTCAAAATTATAATCGGTGACGGCGATCCTTGATGAAAGCCTAACTTCATTCAATTGAAATTACTGTAACATAAGAAGAATAATTGAGAGTACGATTAAACGATTTTAGATTCTTTAAAAGTTAATCAAGAAATTCGGTCGCCCTTTCTGAAATTTTATATTCAACTGAGTCACTCCTGAAATATATTCCCTCCGATCCGGTGTACGATTTGATTAAAATCTTCGAGAAAGGGAAGATTGGTACAAATATTTTCCAGAACGTTCCTCGCGGAGCTTTAGGACTCGAGCGAAGAATGAAATTCGATGCTCTCGCGAAGAATGCTTTCCGATTGAACGCCTCGAAGCTGGTTTTATGAATTGGCCAGGACGCGGTCACCGATCATTATTGTTGCCTGTACGACGCTGGTCATCCGTTAGACGTCCAAGGGAGAGCCTGGGTGGCTGCTCGTCGAGCGCTCAAAAGCCTCCGGAATTAATGGCGCCGTTTGTCAACGGGACCGACCAACGGAACACTGCTTCGAAGGAACGTCCGATCGCGTCGAAGAAGGAAACGGAACACTCCCCGAAACCGACGTCGCCGCGTCCTCGGACGTCGACCGTCGGTCCAGAATTCTGATAAACGGCGTCCAATCCACAAACGAGCGCTCGACGCTCGCGGCCGCTTCCAGAGGCGTACCCGAAAAGGTCATTCATAAATGAGACCGCTCCGGTCAGCTTAGCGAAAGTAAATCCAGCTTTGCATTAATTTTTCGACGATTAATGCCGTTTGACGTCGACTCGAGAATGTTTGCAGCCACTGCGAACGGTTCCGGCTATTTCAAATGCGATTTTATGAAGGAAATCCCTTGAGAAAGGTGAATCCTCTTTCTCCAACGTGCACCGACGTGTCCCTAATTCTGGGACGCTTTAAAGGGCGGATGAACTGTCCTCGAAAGATGGATTTTCCAAATGAAACGGGTAACTCTGATACGAAGTTCGATCGGTACTTTGGGTCTATTTAAAACGGCGTCGATCGCTCGATTTTCCGAGCGAGATTTAATATCGAGTTTGCCAACTAAAACTCCGTAAGAACATCGCGATTTCTTTTGGAGGAATAAATTAACACGCGATAGAAATTGCTTACGAGCTGTCGCAGATAGTAATGTCGAGGCACGGTAACGGAATTTTCCATCGCGAAATCTGATTGCGCCGCGTTCATTTGCGAGTGATATTACACGAGGCGATCGTTGAACGCGTTGTGTACCCGGACGCACAAAAATTCAATCGGATTTAATAAACAATTGCGATATTATTTTTCATCGGGTACCGTTAAACCGTGAGTTATAAAAAAGAAACGGCAAACGAAAGCAGCTTAAAAGCGCAACAAAACCCGCCGCGTGTTTTTCTGACCAACTTCTCGTTGAATAACTTTTTCTAAATAACCTTTCGATAACATTTGAACAAACAACTTTTTCGTTAAATGTTGAAAGTTACGATTCGATTGTTAATCAAATATAATTCGAGTATCGTATAAAAATGATATCACCGATGATCTCGACGATCGTCGATTTCTCGAGTCATGAATCATTCCCTGGATCCTCAGTTTCGAGCTAGCCTGAAACGTAAGCTCCCGATTTAATAATACGCGCTGGGATTAAAGTTTCTAACAAGTTGCAGCGGGACTGAGAAGATTAAAAATTCCGTAACTCGATTTTTAATAATAACTGACCGTGAGATCCAAACGGGAATAATCGTGATTAACGATCCACGGTAATCCAACGACTTTGACACGATCCGATCAATTAATTCGCGGTCCGTTCGAGGCTTCGACAAAATTCTAAAGAAAATTCACGCGCTGTTTGCTGCTATTCCTTTCGATGTTGAAAAGATCGACCTCGTCAAAGATTTTCTGAAAATTACACGATCGCTGTTACCAATAACGGGTCGGGGTTACGAATTATTAACGAAACGCTTAAGCATATCTTTCGTTAGCCTCTTGGTACAACCATCGAGCGAAATTGCTGTTGTCCAGCGAAATCTGTTAGACAGGCTCGCAGCATTCCTGTTTGTGTGATATTGGACTCCGGGAAGGATTGCTTTTGTAAACTTTTCCATTTGAAATGGTAACGAATTGGAGTTGAGTTTCGCGCTATTTACAGTGCAACTAAAAGACAAACACCCATGCATTGGGCTGCGGACAAATACTCTGTTTCGGTGTTTGTAGTTTTACAAATTGATTCGCGAGAGCACACCGGTTGCCTGGTGTGTATTGATTCCGAAGATCGGCGGAATTTCTCTCATCGCGCACTCCAGGTAGACAATTATTAAACCGTCGATAAAATTTGTTTGCTTTATCCCAGACCACGAATGTTTATGCTGCTGCACGTTCGAATTTTAATAGCCACAGGTGAAGAAGAGGTCTTCTAAATGTTGCTACGTATATTTTGTACAGTCAGTATAATAACAAATACTCGTACCTTCTACGTCTATCGAAAAAATTTGTTTAAATTAACTGGTAGGTTCGACGTCCCTAGCGGAAAGTTCTGTCTGTATCGGTTACAAGTTTTTAACAAGTATCCGCATATTCGTTGAAAACGATATAGAAATTCCGATCATGCTGGGGCATGATGTCATAAATAATGATAAAAATTATATTATTCAATCAAATTTATTCAAGGTATGAGAAATTTGTTATTTTGTGTTATTCTAAAAACGGACAGAACTTTCCGGTAGATCTAATATAGATATGTTGACGAATATGTAAATATATACGTGTATAAGCTAATCCATATACATATGTACAAAGAAACATTCATTTGATAATATCAAAACTATTATTTAATTTAGTCGAACTTCTTCAATAGAGGGTACGAATATTTATGGGTGGACCGCGAATTTTTATGCATTTATAGGAAATTTGAATGTCCAAGAAGCTACAAAATCGATAGAGTATGCAATAATATAAACAAATATTGAAATTAAAGTTTATATTATAATATTCGGATAGAAAAATTAAATCCTATCTAGGTTCTATTTTTCTAGGCATGTTTCCAATGATTTCATTTTGCATAAAGATCCAGAGTCTATTTATGAGATTGACAGTACATACTTGCATATTTATACCTGTCATAAATGCATAAATATCCGCAGTTATCAGTTTCTCGTGGCTTCCTCGCCAATCGCTGTGAAAGTAAACATATGAATTCAACGATAACGTTAAATCCCGAGCACGCGCGACAACATATTTTCGCGTTTGCTTATTTTATCAACGTCCCATTTCGAAATGGTCGATGCATGCTGAGAAAGAGTCCCTTCCTGTTCCCTTCCTGTTTTCCGGAATACTTTGCGCGCGTCTCCAGGAAACGTCTAACGGATGAAAGACACGGAAGTGTGACAACGTAAAGGATGATAATCGGGGAACGACAGTGTTAGTAGCTCGTAAGCGTGACCCTCCACCTCGCAGGTGCAACGTGTTCGTGACCCCTAATTATGAGTGGCATAGAAAGCGAGTTAACGAACACCATCGAGTCGCTCTGACAACGAGACGAGATCAGTAACGACACGAACGGAACAGCGTGAACCTATCCACCCCCGCAGTGCTTTAATTGTCCCCAGAACCATGGTGCGTGGTGTATTTCTTTTTTCATTTTTTTTCCTGTACTTTTTTTCTTGGTGTTTCAGCGTGATACATTTGTCGATTAGCCTGTACTCCCTTCGGCAAAATCAAAGAACACAGGAAATCTCTTTCGTCGTCATTTTCGCCCACATCTCCAGCGTTCGCAATAGATCGACCGCATACGAAAATTCATTGTTCGCATCCCCGGCGTCGACTGACACTCGCCTTTGTGGTTCACCAGAGAGGCACGTGACCGTGCGGCAGAGTCGACGAAAGCGTCGCACCGTGTCGGGCCGCCCCTAATCACGCGACGCGAACGACGCTTAAATCTACCGGAGCGCATTTGCAATTTATTCGCGCGTCGATCGACGTCGGCCGACTCGATCCGCTAACCAAGTCCCGAGTAGATGCTCTAACTAGGAAAACTCTCAAGTGTCTAAGTTCTTACAGAGCTTGCCGCTGATTGGCGCAAAAATGTTCTGACCGGCACGCAAAATTAAAAAGAACCACTACGAGAACACACTACGCTCTCGAAAGTAATTAAAGATGAAAATAAACAGGTATATAACCAGTGTTCCAACGATAAAGTACGAAATGAAACGCACCAAACGTCTGAAGAAAAATAAAAATTAGATACATATATATATATATATATATGTATGTATATATGGAACAAAAATTAGTCACTTTCAAGAACAATACGGTAACCTACCGCAGATAAGCAACTGACGAAACATGCCCAAAAATTAATACGGCATTCACGTAATGTACAATACGTATGTATGAAGTATATATAATATGTATACACATCGATGATCTATACTCGATGCAGATCTCGCAAAAAATTGGAAAAAGAAAACGGCCGGTGAACGGAAGGAAAAATGATGGCGAATGATGCCGGACGCTACGCGTCGTCAAACCATGGTTCGTGTAAACAGGATCGAGGGCAGGCGACCGAGACCAGGTTCGACCATTCCGGGGATACTGATTTTAATGGAAATCGAGTCTGACGAATGTTGTTTGCCTTCGATGAACCCTTTATCATTATCGACACTTTTCAATTCGCTATTTTCAACGCGAAACAGTAAAGTTATTTTTCTAAAATAAAATCACGATTCCATTCTGGATGTTCCAAACAACGATGAACAATTATATAACCAAAAAAAGTTTGAGTAAAAAAAAAAAAAAAGAAATTGAGTTTATAAACTTCTTAATTCTAATTATCAGAAATAGTAAACTCGAAATTACTAAGCGTTCATTTGGCGGTGTCAAACAAAATTCAGTCGATATTGCTCGTCTATCGACTGAATAATTACGTATCAATTGTTATCGGAACCCTTGTATATGACTTAATTTGCCCGGGGCGTATTGTGAAATATAATCGCCAGGCGTGCTTGTTATTGATTTGCACAGAGCGGAAGGGTTAAATAGTACGTTACCTCGTTCACTTCGAATCGAGCAACATTCGTTGCAAGCAATTTCCATTAAGCTCAATATTTACCGCTTCATCGATCTATTTTCAATCGGATTTTCGATCGGGTTTTCGATCGCGTGCACCGCCCTGTGATCGTAAGACGAAAGAACGATCGGTCCTGAGTGATCACGCGGAATATAAACAGCGCCAAGTAGCTTCGAACCTTGAGTATAACATCTCGTTCAATCTCCAGGACGGATCTTTATTTCTTCCTACGATACAGTTCACCCCTTCATGCCCAGACCTAGATTCGATGAAAATATGGAGATCGAAATATACGAAATTCAAATTAGTTCAGGCAATTTGGAGTACGATACGTTGAAAGGAAACAAAGAGATGAAATTACAAAACGATATAAATCGTTCGAGTTGCAAGATACAGGTGTTTTGGTTGCTCCGAACGATAATTAATGATGTTAATTGGTCCTGTCGAATTTACAACTATCTCCAGCGGGCAGGAAGGGATGAACGCGCGCCGCGAGATCGTCGATCGCTTTCGCAGGTGTCGTTGGTGTCCGGTGACGCGCGTTTTCGGGTGTATCGCGTACGTTTACGGCGCGGGAATCGACGACACGCGGAAACGACGATAACGAGACGGGCGAAAATAAACGAAAGAATGAAAAAGAAAAACCAATACGTGTGCGTGGTAAAGAATTTTGAAAAAAGCCAATCCGGTGCAGGAAACGTAAACAGAAGAGAAGAACGACGGAGGAGAAACAGAAAATATGGGGAATCGCGAGCGCAACGGAAACGCGGGATTCGTTCTGTGCCCGAGGGAAGCGAATATTTGCAAAACATGCCCAAAAAAAAAAAACTGTTTACGGCACGCGCACGCACACCGTACGATTCTCGCCGGTTGGAATCGGTGACGAATCGCTAGAACGAACGCAACGTTCGCGGCTTTGACTCGCCATTCGTGCACCACCGATTACGTTAATCCGTCACTCGATTAGCCGATGCTACCCTCCGACCAATCGCCGATCGGGGACAAATTTCAATCACCAGCGCTTCGAATTGAGTTTTGATTGGAAAGGAACGTTGCTTTCGAAGGAATAACGTCTTCGATGGTTCGTTCTTTGAATTTGCTACTAATAAAGACTCGAGAATAAAAGATATTATTTTTCATTCGTAAATTGTATCTAGCACAAACTTGACGTGTACTTATTTTTACGAGTCTATTTACATTTGAAGTGTGAGTTGATTTATTTTGTATTTTAAATCACGTGTGTTACTCTAATACAGATTGATAAAGAATATTACAGGTACATGTATCGACTAACATTTGTAATGTAAACATAAATTAAATCAACTCATACTTCGAACATAAACAGACCGATCAAAATTGAATGTACTACTTGAATCTAATACTTGAACGTAATACAAGTCTGTTCTGTAATGTAGCTAAAGTGTTTAACGTTCCTCAAAGTTAACCAATGACTCCTTATAATTATCAATCGTTTGCTCTAAGAACAAATCCTCGATAAAATTAGAACGCTCAACGATACCTCCCAAGTATCTGCCATCGAGCAAGTATCAAACAACACCGATATAAACATGACGTGGAATCGAAAGATGCATAACGTGGTTGGACCATAAAGGTTATACTCGTAACGCGAAATGGTGGTTGCATATTACGACGCTCGCATAAAACCACAGGAAGAAATTGGCACGCGTTCGACATCCGCGCGATCGCGTGACGTTATGCTTGCACCGAGTCTGAACAATGAAACGCGTCGACCACTAGTACTGTAGCACGTGGTCACGGCATCTGGCTGGACGCATAATTAACCAATTCCTACCGGAAGTCCATCTGGGACGTTCCGCTCGGACACGTAGAAAGCTGAGCTATCGTTGCTAAGTGCCCTGATTACTATATTTTAAACATATAGATATACAATCAGTCTCATAAGTATCCGTCTATGTCCGTTGAAGAAACTTGTCTAAATTAAATGATAAGTTTGATGTTTGCAAGTAAATTTTTTGTTATACATAATTAGACTGCGGATGTTCGTGCGAAATAAAGTCTTTGCAAACGTACTTAAAAAAATTCAACCTAAATAGGAATTTATTTTGCTCTGCACATATGGTGATATGAATTTTCTTTCAATATTTCTTTATATTATTATATACTTAATTTGTATTTAAATCACACGTATTACTTTAACACAACAGTAACATGTGTCGACTAATGTTCGTAGTCTCATACTTCAAACATAAATAGACTGATTAAAATTGAATGTAATATTACATACTGTGTGCAATTTGCAGTTTCTTACACACTCAAATTTTCTATAAATGCATATAAATCCGCATTCTACTTATAATGAAACATTTATTTGGAAACGTCAAACCCTCATTTATTTTAGATAAGTATATTCAATAGTCACTAAGGATACGAATACGTATGGGACCGACTGTACGTGCATGTCGCATTTTACGTCGCAATCCATTACCGGTGACCATACGAAAGCTACGTAACTAGAGCCAACCCGATACGATCCCTAAATTCTAGAAACCAGTGATGGGCAAAACCCTAGGCTTCGAATAAATCTGAAGTTTGCCGACATGTTTGTCTCGTTTCCTTCTTTGGAAAATGTTCGAAAGTGGAAATGAGACAAACATGTCGGCAAACTTCAGATTTATTCGAAACCTAGGGTTTTGCCCATCGCTGCAAGAAACAGACTTTCTTCCTCCGTCGCAACACAGACTCGTGCAAGCGTCAAGAAACGCGCGTACAAGTCACGTACATAAATTTTACCCTTGAAGTTAGCAGCCCCCTCGAGGGCAACTCTTGCGCCACCGGCTTCCTCGTCAAGTCAACCGAACCTTCAAAGACACCCCCGCACGTCCGTCCCCTCCGTTTCCGTCTCTCCTTTAGGCACAAAGACGACGTCGCGAGTAGACGCGCCTTTGAAGGTTCGCTTGACTTGGCTCGGTAATAATAGGCGCGCATCGACACTCGAGTGAACGGAAACGCATCGGTTAGGCGCGCGATGCTCGCATCCCGCTTGAACGAACGCGACGTAAACGCTCTGCTCCCCCATATTTTCTTCCTTCTCTTTTGTATCCTTCAAACGAACACTCGTGCTCACCACCTGACGTGTATGCGTGTCCATTTGTGCGCGTGTCCGCTGGAACGTCGCGTGCAGCGATGGACGGTTCGAATTAGGTACCGATCGAGAATCGACGAATCGCTTCGAGTCTCGTTCGACCGTGAAACTTTGAAAACAAGGAACGGGACTGTCTCGATAACCTCGAAGGACTCGCGGCGTCGGTTCCGCCAGCACGACGGAGGCATGCAACAGCATCGGGATACCAAGTTGATATTACTATACGTCAAGTTCTATGACGATCTCCCGAACGAGCAGGATATTACGATTGAGCACGCTGCTTTACTCTGTCAAGCGTTGGTACAGCTTCTACGACTATCCTGGAGTGCTCGAGAGGAACGCCCCTGGATGCGATTCGGAATTATCCGAAAAGTTTCGGCAAGGGTTTATCGTTCATCGAAATTCGGAATCGAACGGATTGGAGATTAAAGAGAAAGCAACAGGGGTGTTCTTCGTAGCTCCCTACGCGAGAGACGCGTCGAGACGTTCGAGAATTACAAAGACAGTACTAGGTTCGAGCGATACTCGATGCGATTCGATATAATTTATGATCCGCGCGATATTTTACACCCGCGTGATCGCTGTACGCGAGCGTGAGTGTATCTCTGTGTGTGTATGTGTGTCAGTGGTGTAGATGCGTGTATATGGAATCGTACACAATATCAATTAACGTGCACAAGAACAATATTGCCACGAGATTGCGTGCAGGGCGGGTTCGTGCAGAGCCGCACGGAGCATTAACAGTGTGACAGACCTGGCTTTAACAGACACAATTTTAGCCCCAACGGCTATGTTCTCTTTACAGTAGATCGGGCCATACATTATGTGGTCCCATACGGGCGGATTATTCGCACGGTCCACAACGTCAATCTGAACCTCCACCGTTCGCGACGAGGACGGGTAGCCCTTGTCTTGGGCCATCGCCTGCAGCTTGTACATCTCGCGCTACACCAGACCGCGTGTATAACAAACGGGAACAAAAAACAATGGCGTTAGTGTCAGGCGTAATGACTCGTGGCAGTGAGTATTTATCTCGGCCGGAGCACCCGGCTTCTCGTCAATGTCTCGCTCTCACTCTCTCTCTGCCCCCCGCGGGGGCGGTATGTATATATATATATATATGTATATATCTGTCTGTGTTTTCTCGTTTGACATAATATCTCTGCCAGCCATTGCTTCGCACCCTGGTGTAGCCAGTTCAATCATCGTGTCTCGCTAGTTCGTCATAGATCCCCTGGATCCTCTGCCTTAGCCGCTGCCCTCTCGCTCGGTTAGACCTCTAACAGCGCGATTACGCTCTAAGCAAAGCGGGACCAGGCGCCAGCTGAAAGCTGAGCGTGCTGAACGCCGGACGCGCCACATGAATCCCTTCGCACGAGGAACTCGGCGATCGCTGATGCACATCGCGCCCGCTTCCGCACCTGCGTGTGCTGCTCGTGAAAGAAAAACAATAACCCCAATTCGAAGGGACCTGGATCTCTCGCTATATCCTCGCCTACCCTATATATACGGATCATCGCGCTAAGGACAATCCGGCATCTGGTTTTCCGAACTCGTACACATCTAGGGACGTTATCCGCTAAAGTCGGCCGGAGCCGGTTCGCCCGTACCTCGGGAATACCTTCGCACCGAATCCGTCTCTGGCGAGCGCGCTCGGAAGCCATGGTGTCCCTCGTTATAGAGTTGATCGACTAACGTAGAGGTCTGGAGACCGTCGTTCTTCGAGAGAGGCCGCTGCCAGAAAAACTAGCTACCGGTACCTACCGAGACAACATTTTGTAACTTGGTTCTTTTATGGAATTTTTGACGATTTTGGGGGATTTTTCGATCCAACTTTCTTTTTTAACACTTGGCATGCGGGCATACCTCGCCGCCGAATTACGCGTGCAGCGGGCCTCTGTTAGCGGGTATCCACCACAAATCTACTAAATACGTATTTTTACGTGACCCACGCTCTAGTGACAGACTGCAAAAAACGTAAAAATACGTTGCCCGCGTGCCAAGTGTTAAGATCCAAAAGAATTGTTTAAACGCTTTTTTTTTTGTTCAGAGTATTGAATTCAACGTTCGAAAGTATATAAAGGTACGAAGTTTCAAAATTTTGTCTCATTAAGTACTGATAGCTAGTTTTTGTGGCGGCGCCCTTTTGTTAACCCTTTGCGCTCGAGGCCTTTTTTTCTGGTATCTACCAGCAACTCGAGATGCTTTCTCAGCATTCTATTGTCACGAATGCTAAGATTATATTGACTTCTCGAATGAGATCTCTAATTTGAGATTTGAAAATCTGGTCACCTTTGCCTCGACGACAATCATTTTATTGCCACTTCGTGTTCCAAAGAAATTAAACCTAAAGAAAACCTAGTGGTGACTGAGAGTCACCTCTCGAGTGCAAAGGGTTAAGAACAGGGATGAGCAACGCGTCGACTCGAATGCCAGCGAGCTTGAGGACAGGTAACGACCACAGGGTGGTTTATTACTGGTCCAACTGACAGCACCTTGCGAGTTGCCCTTCCCAGTCCTTCGCGATTCGCAACGTTTAAAAATAAACCTTTCCCGAAAACCGAGTCAAGTCTTCCTGAAGCCAACTTTCCAACTGTCCCGACCTCCGCGGGACACCAGGTATTTCCTTCGAGCTTCCCGTGTACCATACATCCAGAGATCTCTCGATCGGTGTCACTCGATTCCCAAACGTTCTGCGGAAAATCGACTCCGTCGAATTGGTAACAATTAACATAAGTAAGGGGATAGACAGTAGTGGTAATAGTATAGTAATGGTAGTAGTAGTTGTAGTAACAGTAGTAAGTAAGTAGTAGTAGGTAGTAGTAGGTAGGAGTGTCCGACCAATCAGCGATCTACCGCGCCGCGCTTGACCATGCATGCTTCAGCTCCCGTGAAATACATCATGTACGCATTGGACAAAAAAATAAAGAGAAATGGGAATACGATAGAGTCGGTAACGTAACGTAACCAAGAATCGATAGATCGCACACAAGGTGAAAGAAACGGTACTAAGTCGTACGAACCGATGTACGCATAACGGAGAGGGCGAGAGAGAAATTAGGCAACGATGAGTAGACGGGGCTTTCGAGAAGCGGACAAGGACGTTGGACGGTGTTGAGAAACAAATGGTTTACGGAGGAGACGAGAAAAATACGTGTATCTAGAGAGACAGAAGGCAAAGGGAGTAGCACTGCATGGCACGGCACGGCATGTCACGTGTCTTGTCTCGGTCATGTCGTGGCATACAAACCTGGCTTTCACCGACGTCACTACAGTACCCACTGTGACATTTTCTTTGATGTGAATGGGGCCGTATACATTGACATCCCACACAGGTGGTTTATTGTTTCTGTCTACGACGTCTAACAGAACTTCCACTTCTGCGTGCAAGACTTGCATCTTCCCTCTGTCGGAGGCCCGTACTTGCAGGCGATAGTTGTCACGCTAGTGGCAAAACATTGGGCCGTCAACTCACAGGACACTTTTTCAGGACTGTTGTTGGCGGATGTTTTTTTTTTTTTAACTTTTTTTTCATACTTTCTTTGTGCTTTGTTTTTGGCTTTTCTCGGTTGACCTTTACACACGGAGAGACACGTCACTCGGCGGCGAGCGCGATTACACAGGGCCGTCGTGGACGACCCGGAGGGTTTCTTTTATATTCGCGTAAACGTAAACGAAAGAGATAGAAGAGAGTGAAGGACCATGCAGTCTCGTGTGTATCCGCTTTTACCGTTCCAGACCTCTTTAATCAGGGAAGGGGGGGGGGTGGTCGTTTATGACATTTTTCTCTTCGACGCGTCTGCCAATCTCGCGATCGACCTGAAAATTTCTGTCATTATCGAGTCAGCTCTGCGTTTGGATCGGTTTCGAGCGCGAACGGTACCATTGTGGTGTTCCTGTAAGGGATACTTACCCCGAATAGCGTTCTTTTCGATCTACGCGTACGAAAAACAAAGCTTTACACGTACATATTTTTTTTTCTTTTTTTTTTCGGAACATTGAAAGTCACAGGGCGACGAAACGAATCCATATGATTATTTCTAGCGGACGAATCCCCTGTGTGCCGATAACGTACGTCACAGATGATTAACATTCGTGTTAATCATCTGAAACATATGAGATATTTCGTTCGGTGCATGGCTCTTAACACATAAACAGAAGCTTAAGACATTTCACCAGAGTATACAATATTCGTTGGACCGAGTCTTACGCTCTGGTCGATATTTTTTAATAAAACGACACGACCATCGCCAAATATCGACGAACCAATCGTCGTACTCTTCCCCCCCCCCCCCTGCAGTTCTATCAACAATTCCGAGAGTTTTCAGATTTTGCTTCGATCCACTCGAACTGAAGGAAAAAAATTTGTCAGAGTTTTCGAAGACGTCGCAAGCGTCTGGAGAATCGTTATCGGCGGTATCGAAGAGGTCCTTCACCTGCGGATACGCTCGAGACCAGGACGAGAGAACGAACAAAAAGGCGCGGTGACACGAGCGAACGTTATCGAAAGAAAAGAGCGAAACCAAACGAAACGTAAGAGAAACCGTACAGATTCGCGTATTTGTAAAACGTAAACACCGAACGTAAAGAATTGAAAACAGAAAAAAAAAATTGACCAAAGACGGAGATAGTGAAGAGACAGAGAGATAGAAAGAGAGACGGAAAGTGATAGCGATACAAAAAAGTAAAACAGAGTGACGTCTCCGAGTGACAATAATAATTAATCATAGAACAAACAGAGGCGAACGAAAAAAAAAAAAAATATATAAATTTCGAAACGATAAGTCTTTGACACACTCAATAATCGAACGGAAAGGCGCTCTAGTATACTGCAACGAATATCATACTTATACTTTCTTTCTTTTCTTTTTCTTTTTTTTTTTTTACTTTCTTTTTTTTCTCTTGCGCTGGTATAACATTGCTAGCACGTTATACCTCTGTGTTCTCGATGCAAAGTGTGAAAACACAAGAATGTGGTTCCTACTTACTGGAAAACAGCCCTTTTTTTTTTGTCATCATCAAATCCGAAGAAAGTAAATGGTGCAATGAACACAAACATAAACAATAAGAAATTCAAATTAGTTCCTTTACGAAATCAACCAATGCAGGCATTTGCATGCAAGCAAGAATGCGTTTAAAGAGGCATCGGGAGGAACAGGGTGACGTGAGAAATAAGAAAGAGACAGACAGAGAGAGAAGAGAGAAGAGAGAAGAGAGAAGAGAGAAGAGAGAAAAGAGAAGAGAAAAGAGAGAGAGAGAGAGAGAGAGAGAGAGAGAGAGAGAGAGAGAAAGTGTGGCGGGCGGGATCGTGGACGGGTGGTTCGGAGTTACAGAGAGAAGGAAAAAAAATTATGACGACCCCTCGTCTGATTCTTTCGTTTATAACGACACTCAAAAACCGATGGACGTTTTTACCGTGGATTAGTTTTTTTTTTATGCATATATTACGTTGGCTCGTCGTGTATATTATAGATCCGCATTATTCCGTTTTAGTTTCTGTTTCGTTACGACAGTGGTATGCCGCCCCAATCACAGAAGAAAAAATGTCACACCACGGACAGACTTCTTACGGTTTATCGTTATTGCGCTCTCGGCAAAAAATTGTCTCTCGTTTCTCTTTTTGTTATTTAGTTATTTATTTATGTTTTTACTTTTTTTTTTTTTTGCTCATTGTCAGTCACGTCGTGGTTTTGGCGGGAGAATATAGGAGACGAAAGCCGGGAAACGTCAGATGAAGAGTAAATATAACGGACGAGAAACGAAGAAAAATATGAGAAATGTTCAAAATGCAAAAGAAACGAGAAATTGTTAAACCGTGTTGTTTCTGGCACGAAAGAGGTCGAAAAATTAGAGAGAAATCGTACGTATGCTTCGATGCTTTCGACAACAAAATGCAAACAGTAAAAACGATTGTTTCCATCGATGATCGTCGCCGAACGATCGTAAAAATCAAAGGAGAAAAAGAAAGAAAATTCAGAGCGAGCCACGCACGAATCACGATGCAAGAGAGTACCCGACAAACGTAGGCGAACAGAACAGAAGAGAAGAGAACCGAAAGTTTAACGGAGAAACACAAGAGACAGAGGCACGTGGGTGGAGGTGGGAGACAGAGAGAGAGCAGAGAGCAGAGAGGAAGGATGTAGGAGCGAGAGCGAGATCCGTTCCTGTAAAGGAATCAAAAACACATTCATATAAAATATGCAAGCATTTTCAAAAATTGTTTATGTCTGATGCACCACAAAATGCGTAGAGGTTGAAGTACACCGTACGTGGGGCTCAAAAAATGTCGTTCCCACCTGCTCCTGGAAGTTCAAAAAACATCACTTCCCTTTTGAAAAACATTCACATTAGTATTTAGTTTAAGGAGAATAATTAAAGGTAATTAGTTGGGTAATCGATCGTTTCCCTTCCTTTCGATCCGTTATTCGGTTCGTTCCTTCGCGGTTGTTTCGCCGCGGCTCTGTGGCGCGTGTACAAAAAAGTAACCGGGGAACAAAAATACGCAGACCATCATTCTCCGTTGGCTAAGGTATGGAAAAGTGAGAGAAAGTGCACGCGCTCGATCATCGCCGCGGGGTTCGATCGCGTGCGTCTTTGACGCGCGAGCGATTCTTCCGCGGTACGAATAGTTTGCCGCGCGTGAAAATCATGACAAGAAAATTGCGGTTACTGTTCGGCGCGTGTTCGCAAAATGAAACGAACGGAACACAGACTTCCTCGAACCGAAGCAGTTCGTCGAAGGAACAACGGAAAGAAAGAAAATGATCGAACGAAAGCTAGACCAAAATAGGAAATGAATAAATGGAGAACGAAAAATGGTAGAATCGATCACGGCGAGTAAACGAAAAACTGGACAAAGAGGTTGTTCGAAAGTTCGATTTTGGAATCGTTATTTTTTTTTTTTTTTTTTTACGGGTACTCGCGCCGCGAGCATGATCTCGATAGAAAGAATGAAAGAGACAGAGAGAGAGTGTTCTGTTGCAAAAATAGCCCGAACGGTCGATCGATTCAGGTACATGAAGCGTTTGAGGAAATCAGGCATAGCTAAGTATTTACCATAGTGAACACATTGTGCATATCAATGGGAATTAAAAAGTTCTATACATGTGCCGTAAAAAGGAAACTCATTTCGTTGCATATTAGTGATAATTAGAGAAATAATTGCCGACCAAACGCATATTAGTATACAAAGTTATCCGATCAGCAACAAAACGGATTCGTGTTAAAGAACGTAAGTGAACGTAAACGTACAATATATCGGCAGAAGGTGTACACTCAAGTTCGTATTCATATATAGTATAAATATGGATATAAATGTATATTTATATATATTCTATCATATGTATACACGCACGCGCGTATAGGTACATCCTAAGGTACGTGTATGCGTGTGCGAGTATACGAGGGCATATAATGCTGGAGAACGCGACGTGGGTTCACGGCTTTGATTCGGCTCTTCGCAGCAAACGAATCATTCGACCTACGAAATGTACATTTGCCCGATGGTTGGTTAAACAACAGCCAAGCAGGTCGACGTTGCACGATTATAATAACGATATTCGTTGCGCGACAAATGGCGAACGGTGACAAATGTCGAGGTCGAGGCTGGACGAAGAAGCGGACGTTTCTCGCTCGAGAACACACGTCGGTCCTCCAGGTAAAACCATTTCTGTTGTTACTGTTAGAGAGAGACGCATATGTAGATTATCATCAATGGGAATACTCACGTCTAGAGGCTTCTTTAAGACGATCCAACCAGACTCTGGTTGAATCTCAAAGTACTCCAAGCTCTGGTCATTGTTTGGCGAGGTCAACGAATAGGTTATCGCACCGTTATTGTCGGCATCTTCGTCCGATGCCGACACTCTTAAAATGTTTGTTCCAATACTCGCGTCTTGTTTCACGTTTTCTACGTATCGCTGCGAATAGAAAGGAAATCAGTTAAGATGTATCTATGATTAGAGAAGTTGGAGAATTCGCTTAAATAAATCATTTTAAAGAAGACTCGAACGTCAGGTCGTTACGTCCGAATCTTAATCGCAACTTCGTAAGAAGTTCTTTCGATAAGTCAAACTAAAGAAAACTTGAACTTCCTTATTTATGTTATACGAAATGGTATCGCGCCAACAATGGAAGAAACGTTGACGAGCAACGTACGAATAAAGTGCAAAGTACTGATAATAATTTCCGTTCATCGGGAGCAAGAGACCGTTAATTTATTCCGCGTACAAAGTGCAAACAGCCACGATCGTTAGTCGTTTGCATTTCTTTGAAACACGCCCGTTTGAATTCCCCGATAGTTACTGCTTGAGATCACAAAGGGCAACAAATTGCGCAATGCGACCATGTGGTGAAAAGCAATTTTCCTCTTTAGTTCATCCCCCCGCCTCGCTCTTTCCGTCGGCGACCAAACAACACCGGCGTTTCTCTACGAGATAATAGAAAATTGTGGAAAATGCAACTTGCGTCGACTGCGAACGAGATAAACGGAGACGGAGCCTCTATTGAGCTACGAGCGCGAATATTCTTTGAATCTGATTAAAAATGATTCCGTGCAACGTGTTTATAAAGTAGCAAACAATCGTGTTCGTCGTATTCGAGTGAAAGCTTTGTCTCGCTTCTCATTGTTATGGTAAGCTTACTTTTTACTACTACAGTTTGTATACGCGATGTTGCCAGTTTTAATATTCCGCGGAATACATTTCACGATATTTTACGTGCACTTTGATAAGTTTACTCACCTGACGGTCGAATAGGGGTGGGTTGTCGTTGACGTCAGTGATTTCAACAGTGAAAGAGCAAACTCCTTCTAACGAGGGTTCACCTTGATCCGTCGCTTTCACGGTAACGGACACAAATTTTCCATCATCCCCTTCGCGATCGAACACCTGAAAACATCAGAGTGTCGTAATCTTACGCCTTTAACATTTTTATTTAATCTGCTAAAAATGTGATTTTTATTGGGTCGTCCAGGAAGTTCGTGTCAATTTTTAAGAAAAATTCAAAGGCGCGTTTGAATTTTGATAAATATTTATTAAATTACGTAGGTACTATTTTGTTCCACAACCTTTTCACCTTTTAAGGGATGTATACACGTTATTTATTATCTACCAAAAATCGACATGGACTTTCCAGACAACCGAATAATGCAGCAATTTTAAAAATACAAATGGAAATTCATAGATTATTGAAAGCTATCGAAAGAACTAAAAAAACTTCCAAAACCCCACGAATTTTACCAAAACGACTGCCCAATGATACGTTCTCTCCTACTTAAATAAAAAACACGTTCCTAGCAATCTACGAGGTCCGCTTCTCGACCAGCTTATCCCTATAGCATCGAGCACCACCAATTAAAAACGGCGTGTTTACCTTGTTCGTGAGAACCTGGCCAGTCTCCTCGTCGACGGTGAACTTGGTTCCCTTCTGATTGGGTTGCTGGACGATCGAGTACTTCACCTGACCGTTCACGCCTTTATCCTTGTCCGTGGCCTGCACCTTGATGACGGTGCTGCCATTCGGAGCTCCCTCCTCGACTTTCGGGTTGTAGCTGCTGCAATCCGTGAACACCGGCTTGTTGTCGTTTACGTCCGTGATGAAGACCACGACCACGGCTGTGCTGGTGTGCGCGGTGGTCTTTCCGTTCGGACAGCAAGCACCGTCGTCCAGAGCTGTTACGTTCAGCTCGTACTTGTCCCTGTCCAAGGAGATCGGCTTCCCGTGGAGTCGAATCACACCTGTAATCTCTTCGATCACGAACTGACCCGAGGTGGTGTTGCCGCCGACGAATTGGAACCGAACGTTGTCGCCGTCCTTGTCCGAAGCGACCACGGTCGTGACCAACGTGTTGGGCCCGGCGTTTTCGTCCACGTTTGGCGTGTACACCTGCTGAGAGAACTTTGGCTCCTCGTCGTTCTTGTTCTTCGTGTATATGCGCACCGTGGCTGTTCCGGTCTTTGGAGGCTCGCCTGAGACAGTGCATCGAAATTAGTTGGGAGGCTTAACATACGAAGTAAATTTCTGAATTCTTTCGGGAAAGATCCTTGTCACCCATATATACTCAGATGACGTAGAGATGAACGTGTCGATTTTCGAGACGTAAATTTAATCGACATACGGTGGCTACGCGATTCTAAAAATTCGAGCGTACCTTTGTCCTTGGCAGTGACGCTGAATTCGTAGTAAGCGTTGTTGTTGTCCGCGTCGAGTTGCTTATTATTGACGATGATCCCGCTCGAGTCGACGCTGAAGTGATCGTCGGACACCAGGTACTCGACTTCCGCGTTCATGCCGGAATCCGCGTCCGTTGCTTTCACTTTCAGTATACTCGTGCCCAAGGAGATGTCCTCGTCGACATTGTGGGCCTGGTAATCGGGCAGCTCGAACTTGGGCGCGTTGTCGTTCACGTCCGAGACTCGAATGGTCAACTGAAACGCGTAAACGTGTCCACGGGCGAATTTCAACGAACCAGTCCCTTTTTTTACTCGCTGAAACTATTTACTACGAAGTCCGATACGAAATCAGTTTCATTCGCTGTTATACCTCGACGGACGTGGAGAAGCCACCCGAATCCTCCGTGGCTGTCACCATGAGGGAGTAGACGTGGGGATAACGCAAGTCCTCAAAGTCCAATTCTTTGGCGAGCTTCACGATGCCGGAAGTCGGACCGATATTGAACGTTCCAGCTGCGTCTTGACCTTGCGCCTTCAGGGTGTAACGTATCTCGCGATCGGCGAACGATTTTGCTTTCACCGATATGATGCTGAAACGAATCCAATGTTGCATCGACCAATCGAATCCCAAAGTGGCAAAGTCGATACCTAACTCAATATTTCTACATTTCTGTTATTCTACATTTTCAGCAGTACACAGTCAGTCCCATGAATATTCGTATCCTTCTGTGTGTATTAAAAGAATCTGTGTAAATTAAGTGACAGACATGAGGTTTTCAAATAAATATTTTCAGAGGTATTAGAATGTACGGGATGAGACTTGCGAGAGTTTTTCTAATATTCAATATGTTTATTTCGTTATTAAATATACAAAATGAGTTTTCTAACACGACGACCTCGAATAACTCGTAAGGTATTCGTTGTACGATCAAATATTTCAAACAAAAATTGCCATGGTATCTAGGGCGACATACAGCGCTTTAATCTGTTTTTCATTACCTTACCTTTTGTTGAAATATTAGGGTCACCTTAAGTTTTCTAAATGGAATGACTAATATTTTTTTTTTTTTTTGATTCAGATAAATCGTCAAATCAAAAGTAAATCAAAAAGTACTACACAAAGTGGGACTTCAAATGAAAAATTACTAAGATATGTATGTATATCATTTAATCTTACAATGTGTTAATAAAACGTGTCACATCGTTAACTTGAAAACAACATATTTCATTACAAATACTTACAAGTGTCGAGTTTATTCGCGTACATATTTATAATGAAATATTTATTTGAAACTGTCGAGTGTGTCATTTAATTTAGACAGATTCTTTTGACACAGACGAAAGGTACGAATATTTCTGACCCGATTGTATTTCTAGCTGGATAGAAATTGAATTTCGCATTCGAATTCAGCGGTTAGCTGCCGGTAGGAGCTCCATCGTAATTCGAGTAACGCGAAAACGTTCCCAGAGGCGAAATCTGATAGAGACATTCAACTCACTCGGAGTCTTTCTTCTGGTTTTCCGGTATCTCGGCCTCGTACGCCTTCATGTAGAACTGCGGCGGGCGTTTTCCACCTACGATCGATAGCCGCTCCTCAGGAGTCGACTGAAAACGCCTCTCATCTATACGACCGTTCTGATCCTCCGCTTTCACGTACAGAACGTATTCCATGTCCAGCTGAAACAGCTCGGTCCCTCGGGTGCGTACAACTCCGGATCGCTCGTCTACCTCGAAACGACCACCAGCTGCAAAGCAAAACGGTCGCTATTTATCTTTCACTCGGATAACTCTACGGCGCTCGGCGTCTAACCGGAGTTATTAGATGTTTCGTGCAAGAAACTTGTGTATATCTCGCGGAAAACAGTTCCTGCGGCGACCGACGCCTTTGTACATAGGCAGAGATGAAAGGAACGACGCTATTCGACCGCGGGCAAATTCTGTTATAGATTTTTTCTTCTATTAGGATTATTGGATCGTCTCCACTTCCGTCGTCCTTTCTTCCATCTCGAGTCTCAATCTAGAAACCTCAACGTCCGCTTTCGAACAGCGCTCGAAGCTCGATTTCAAAATGTAAAATTTCTCGAACTTTGTTAAATTATGTAATGTTAAGTGAATATTTCTTTCCCGAATATTTCTTTCCCGAATATTTCTTTCGACGCCGATATCGTATCTAATTTCGTTTGTGATTTATTAAGGTGGAAAACAGGAAAAAGTAAAATAATTAATTTGACGTACGTAAATTAGAACATCTGCTTCAACTCGTGCAGGGAATTCGATAAGCGCGTTTCTAGTAATTAATAGTGTCCGAGTATTAAAACGAGTAAAGGTAAGTCTCGGAGATCTCAGAGTCCTCGATGTAAAATCATTGCACCGATTTTTAAAATAGTATTTACCACTGGCGCCAGTTATGCGCGGAAAGCCAGTCTCGAAGACTGCGTTATCGAAATTGAATACGTACTTCGATCTCGCACGATGAAGTAGTGAATATTGTTGTCGGTGTCAGGATCCCTGGCTTGAAGGGTAAACACGTGTGTATTCGGTGGGGCGTTCAGCTGCACGACCGTTTCCATCGGTAATGGTCGATTTATGAAGTACGGCGGCTCGTCGTTAACGTCCTTCATGTTGATAATGACACGCTGATTGTCCGTGTCTGTAATTGTCGATCGATTATTGATATGCGTTCGCAACGTGCACGCACATAGACGGAAAACGGTGGACAATGCGCGAAGGCGGTGACCGAGTAGCATTTGACATTATCTCGACCCTACGCTCTGACCTTTGCTCCGTTAAATTCAACGGGTGCCACGAAACGAAATTTCTCGATGCGACCGTGCAGCGGTCTGACCTATCGATGCATCGTACTTGGAATATCGCGGTAGATGCTTCGTGCCGAGCTCGAAACGTCTAATACATCGATCGCTATCGGCGGACTCGAGAAAGCGTCAACCTGCGATGCATAGGAACGACGGAACGCCGAGTTTCGCGTTTACGAATCAACGCGAGTCGAGTCCCATTCTTCCAGGAAAGGAGTTTGAATTATCAACGCGCATATTCTTCCGTCACCGCCCATAAACACTGTCGACCCAGCAACGTCGCAAGCTCTAATGCGAATTAGCGTCTGATGCGCGAAACTAATTGCTCTCATACTACGCAAACTACCCAGCTACGAAAGCCGTTGCAAACTTCGCTCTTAGTACTGTGTACAGAAAATGTTTGCGCGAATAATGATACCAAAGGTGAAATGTGTTTCTACTTACATAGAAGTCCTGCGGGAAGCCAAGAATGCGGAAATGAAAAAAGGTTTTGTTATTAGTTGGACGTGAAAGCGTGGATAATCAACGACGAACGCACGGCAAGAAATATATTCGCTAACGTTAACGTATCGAAACGTAAATTGTATAATTGATATTAATAGATTCACGACTGATATCAGATACTTATTTCTATTAACGAAGTGTCCACATATAATTGTATAATAATATAATAATTGAGTGTACGTACGTAATTGAGTTTGCTCAAAAATAAAACTCTCTAGAGAGATTCGAGACAATTTTTGACGCCATACTGCCAAAAATAGGGACAGCGTAATAATTTCCCGAGAAAAGCGCGACTGGATACTATTTAAACAAGCCGGAATATGTAATTTAATTCGTCCCCGGGTCCCTTGGTGCGTAACGCGCGTCCCGGTCATTCTTCCCAGCCAAACTGTAATTAGCGTTCAGCACACAATGTGAAACGAACGCTCAAACAGTCGCCCGTTTCTAAAGGAAATTGTATCCACGTGCGAGCTGCTGCACGGAACGGAAGTTCCCGATGAATTATTTTTTGCCGTGCTCCCCTTACAGAGATCGCAGACGCACCGATCTGTCCTACGAGAATTCCACTCTCGATGGAAGTATACAACGGGACCATCGTTAGACATTAGCTACAGTTTCTTTTGCGAGTTGCGCTCGATTATTTTATGTGACAGTGTTTATATAAACATACATTTAAAAATATTTTATACATATATGTATATATATTACATACATGTCGAATTGAGAAACCGCCTCCTTTTTCGATGTTAGTTAAAAAGTTGATCTAATTTCTTGGAGCAAAACGGATCGTACACGATTCATTAACGTAACATAAAATATCGCGTATGTGCTTACTTATTAATAAAACGAAAGAAACTTTTGAAAGAACCTGATAGATCGTTGCGTCTGTGACTCTCGTTTTACGATTAAAGGATCTTCCTAAAGGGACTCTGAGACTTTCTTTTTCAATACCACAGCACACCAGTTAGTCGCGACGCTATCTTTCGCATTTAATTGTAATCGCACTCTCGCATCAAACAAACAAAAGTGGTCGGATTTTGATTGAAAAGCAAAGTCCTGGAGCCTCTATTCGAAAAGTATGTTTCTACATGTTTCTATGCGATCGGTGCTGATCGAATAATGGTGCAACGTGCGGTGCGCTGGTCCTCAAGAAGCGCAGGTTCCACCCCCGTACAAGAAGAAGACCCAGAAGATAGAGAAGAGAACCGAGCCATAGCACAGGTAAACGCGAATGCTGATGGACGAATGCACGAGCGTCGAAGCAAGAGTAAAAATAAAAATTGTACCGTCAAATGGACACCGGGTATACGGCGGGTACCGTGTGCACCGTTCTTCGGCCGCGAGGCGAACAACAAAATCAACATTAATCAACAGAAATTGTGGGCAAAGATTAGGTAACGGTGTGTGCATAAGTTTCTACTCCGCGCTACGCTGTTGGTCGCTTGTTTAGATCCAGGTTGAGCAATCGTATCAAACATTTGAGAAAACGTATCCTACAAAACTTATGCACCTCATTAATTATACAATTTATTAAATTATGCAATTTAATGCATTCAAGACAGAAATATGTCTTAGAGACACTTTATTCGATTAAATGGAAAAATATTTCACGTTGTACTAAATTGCACGAACACGAAGTAGAGTAACGATTGTCATACGTTACCTGAGTTGGTGATGGTCACCCAAAAATCAATGGTCTTTTCCGAGCTGAGCTCCTCGTAATCCCATTTCTGCTTGACGATGACAGACCCGTTAAGTCCAACCATGACCCACTTGTTCTCGTCCCTAATCTTATACATCTCCTTCTCGTTCTCCTTCTCCAGATAAAACGCGATTTTCCCTTCGACGTCGCCGTCCGCCTCGGTGAAGTCGACCTTCTTCGTCGGCCTGACGGCCCTCGTCACCCGTCGCTTCTGTATCCGGTGGACCTCCGTTTCCGGCGGCAACGACGTCAGGAACCTGACGACAACCTTGGCCGGTCTCTCCGTCGTTCGACTCGGGTTCCTCACGTCGTGAGCCTCCACGATCACCGCGCACTCGTAGTCCTCGTCCATCGTGGTTTCCGGTTCGCCAGCCAGCATCAGCTCGCCCGTCTGAGGCACGATGACCAGCAGGCTGCTAGGCACGAGCAATTTGTACGCGACCTTGTCGCCGTCGGCGTCCTTGGCAGCAACTTTGCCCACCGTCGAGAATCGTTTCCAGAAAGGTAGCTGGACGGAGTTCTTCCGCATGGCGTCCAAGTTGTCGGGTCTGATCTCGAACGTGTACTCCTCCGTCTCGAACACGGGACTGTTGTCGTTCTCGTCCAGCACGTGCACCACGCCGTTCACGCACGACGTGCTGAGGAAGTTCCCATCGGAGGCGTGTATAGAGACGGTGTAAACCTTCTTGACCTCCCTGTCCAACGGTTTCGCGGTCACCACCCTGACGCCCGACTTCTGGTTGCTCAGCGTCAGGTTGAAACCAGTTCTGTTCGAGTATTCCTCTCTCAGAGCGAACAACCTCGTCCCGGATTCGTCCGGCAGGATCGCGAAATGTATGGGGAAGCTTCCTTGAGCCCGCAGCACCGGGAAACCGTCGATCAAGGTGCCCGGGTCGGAGTTCTCCGGCACCTCGCCCTCGCCGAGGTGATCGTGCGAGAAGTTGATCATGTTCTGGCGATTAATCACGTAGAGATGAAGGAAATGAGTCTCGGTCCCGTTGGCCAGTTCCTCGAGAACGATCAGCTTCACGGGTCGGTCCACCAGCGGCGATAAATCGAACGTGGTCATCACCAGACCGTTGCCGAGGACGGTGAAGAACTTGGAGTAGCCGTTCTCCATCAGGTGGAAGTTCGACGTTTGTTTCGTGTCGAATTGCGTCACCTCGTAGCCCGGGTAGACGTCGTGGGGCAGGACCACCACCTTGTCGCATGACGACGTGGCCACCAGGAAGGCTGCGATGACGAGTAGGCGCCACATCGTGATGGCTCGTTGTCCGCTCCGATCTCAGTACGTTCGCGCTTTTACTAGAGCATGAGTGCCGGCAACCCCTGAAACGAGAAACGGGTAGGTTAGTATCTGGGTTAGATTTAAGGACGGTGATCGATAATGGGGACAGGAGTCATTTGTCGAATTGGTTGAATAGGGAGCGACGAAAAGGTTTTTAAAATGCAGATTAAAAATGTACAGACTTCATTGGAGAGATTGAAAATCAATTGACAGCTGTTAATATTTTTTAAGGTTATTTAGTGCATTGATATCAACGCTATAAATTTACTACAATTTTTTGTCATTTATTCTCCGCGATCTACATCAGGAGTGGTATCGTCGACTTCGTTCTCTTCATTGACTCCGTTCACCTTGGTTTGTGACGCACTAAGAGCCTATTGTAACAGGTCATTTTTTTTTTTTTTGTCATTTTGTAGTCTCCCTAAATGCACAAATTTCTCTACGATAAATGCCCAGAAACTGAGGAGTTCGATCGGCGATTAGCGTAACATGATCCGGGATCAGATATCTCGATGAGACAATGCTAGTGCAACGATAAAACTCATCGATGTACCTTGGTATTTTCGCTCCGTCCTCTTTTTTATTCGCTGTCCTGTATATTCATCGCTTTCCCCCGCCACTTTCCAAGCTGTGTAACGGGACATATTTATTTTTCTCCATGTAAAGGGACATGAATTTCGGCTGTTCGAAAATAAAAAGATTTTCGATCTTTAAATAGGAAATAATTATCACAGCTGAACCACCCGATTTTTAAACGAGGACAAGTTCGATAAGCCCCACTCCTCTCGCTACCTCTTTTATGAAACGTTGAGAAAGCGTCGTCGTTGAAAATTCACGATCGATCACGGCTTCCTTTTTCGGGCCACGTCGGAATTTATCACCCCTAAGTAATCCGTCGCGTTCCCATGCCGATCATCCGGCGAAAACTCGGCAGAAACGGCGATAAATTATTTCGACGGGCGTAATTCGTCCACTGATTCAGATTTATGTCCGTCTTTAAACAGCCCGCGTATACAGCTCACGTTGCGCGCCCACGCAAATGTCAGCCGCGATATAATGCTGCCGTAACGAGCAATTTTCCCATCGAATTGACGCGATTTTTCTATCCCGTTCGTGGAAATCGAAACGAATATCAATATTTACCTCGATCTAGGCCTAAGGGTGATTAATATTCTACTCGAGACGTGGACATTACGAATTGGGAAGTTCGACGTTAAACTTGCTGATGTATTATTCGATCGAGTGCCACGTGAAATATTCTTTCGTTTCGATTGAGAAAAATGTCTTTAACGCATTCGCGACTGGCAGATATTGTGCGTTTCTGATACCGTGAATAATAAAATTCTGAAGCTGGACGTCGCAAAATTGTTAGAGCGATGATAACTATTACAAAAAAATAAAAACATCGCGAATGCGTCGAGTTCTGTCGCTCGATTGATCGCAGTAGAAATAGATAAAAAATAATTTTGCTAGGCTCGGTGTCGACGATTAAAATATAAATAAGACTGATTGTTTCAACGTATGGTAATTGTTGGAATATACGACCGACAAAAATCAATTGACACCTAATATGCTGGTCGCGTGAAAGGATGTTTCTATAAATAATTCTTGGTCTGGTCCCTGTAACTGGATTTTTCATTCAGTCAGTTCTTTGAAAGATTTCGTACGGTACGGACGTAGCTCCCTCGTTATTGATTAACCCTTCGCGGTCACCCGGGGTCACAATGACCCCAAGCGCAACTTTAACCTAGAATTACTCCAAGTTATTAATTCTATGAAAATAAATTAAAAATTGCCAGAGTTATGATTTTTTGAGTAAAAGAATTTTTTTTACGCATTGGCACCTTGCTGATTCTTTTTTCGCCATTTTGAAAATTTGACAAAAATTGTTTGCCATGATATTCTCATTCCGAAGGGTTCAAACTAATATCCTGAATTTTTACGAGTCGTTCGGAACGATACTGGCAACGCGGCAATCGTTTAAACATGGCTGGGGTCATTGGGACCTCCTGTGACCGACGCGTTATTTCCAGATAAATATCATATAATATAAATATAAATATAATATAAATATAAATATAATAAAGTCTATTTTATTAAATACGAAGTGAAACATTTATTTAATTACCCATTTCCAATAGTGATAATTAAAGAATGAAAATAAGAGACGAGTATCTTCGATGAATGCTCAAAGGAGAACAGCGCGAATCGTCGTTGCTCGTCACGGAAAAGGTTCGCCCTTTTGTGGGTCTGATTTTTCGTCGGAGTTAGTTTCGAACTTAAACGAGCCGCGGCTGACCTCACGTCCGGTCCTCCCGTGGCGTGAATAGAATCAAATGGAACGGGGGGGTTACTAAATGACAATGGTCAACTCGTACGCGCCGGTTCTTATTTCCGGTGCAACGTTGCGGACATTGTTCGTTCCGTTGGTGTCTCTCTGACGAGCAAACGTGTACTGTTCGCGCGAACCTCGACGACCAGAGGCATTGATATTTCCAGCGACAAAGGAAGACAATGACGGAATGATTGCAGTTTCTTTCGAGACCCAGCTCGCGTTCATCCTCGCTGGCATTTTTCGTGCACCTTTCAAAGACCACCGTGTATACAAAGTTTCTGCGTTGCGCGGACGAACGTAAAAATCAGAGATACCGGGAGAAGTTCATCGGGAAAAGTTTCGAATGGTCTTTGAAGCTCGATTTCGATCGACGAACGACATGTACGAGCATGGTACTCGAACGATCATCGTGAGTGACGTATGCCTCTAGAATTTCCTATATTGAGTGTCTAGACGCGGGCATTATGTAGTTAACAGTTTCCTTCAATTACGCTTTAGCAGCCAATTTCCGAGACTCGAGCGTTTTAGGTTCGTCTCGGAAATAGCTTTAGTGAAATGAACTCTTCGTCGTTGCGCATCTCGAAATTGTCTTCTCAGATTTGACAGTGAGTTGAATTATGTCCGCCTCTCTCTCTCGACAGATTTACGATACGATATTCGTGGTTCGTCGAGTCCTTTTATTTCTTCTCTACCATCCAAACACATAATACGATGACACCTGCATCTCTGTGCCTGCTTATCGTGTTTCTAGATAGGATTTCAGCACTTTAGAGCCAATACGCTCGGATACATTCCCTTCGCAGTGTGAAACGGAACTTCGTGAAACGGAAGTACGCTCATAGAAACGAAGTGCAGTGCGGATACTATAAAGAGAAATGATCACAACGATAACATAAATCGATTTGGCGTTCGCCAGACGTCTCCACGTCCCATGCGAACACGACCGAAAGTAACAGTGCACACGGAGAGGCGACCGTGAAGTGTCGCGTCATCTGCTGTTGCGAATCATTGGGGACGACGCTCGCAGTGGGAGCAGATGTTGTTGGGTAGCGATGGCACCAAACGAATCGCGGGTAATATCGATACCGTAGGTGGATCGCGTTTCCTTGGAATAATGGACGACTGAATTCAATACTTCGGTTATACTTTCACGCAGCAAATCAACTTCATTCTCGAATCTCAAATTGGAGATTTCATTTTCAAAGTCGATCTAAGCTTACCATTCGTGGCGATAGAATGCTAAGAAAGCACCTCGAGTTCCTAGTAAAAAATGTAAAGTGCAAAGGGTTAGCTCGTCCTGGAGGGTTTTCCACCGAGGGTTTTAGAATTTCGTTTCTTGTTAACGAAACGTGTTGGTGTGGTCACGTTTAATTGAGACATGGACTTCTATTTAACCTCTTCACGCCCTTATGAAGACTTTTCATAGTTATGATTACTGTTAATAATAAAATGAAGAAAAATTTGATAATAAACGAGTACCTGAAGAGATTGAAATTGTGAAGCAAAGTCTTGAATCTGACTTGTATACCTTCTTCTTGAACTAGTAGATTTTCGCGGGTACGCGTGAACTTGATCCCATCGCTCAAGTACAATCGTGGGTCGAGTTAGTATTATACTGTTAAGTCCGTAGAAACACGACACCTAATCCCTCCTGGGGACGTATTAAGTGGCTGCCTTCAGCTGGTATCAGTGAGACTGGAGCACGGTGGGATCGCGAGGTACATTTATCATAATCGAGTAGTGTCGTAATATAAAATATTCAGTCAATCCCATAAGTATTCGTACCTTTCATGTCTATCGAAGACGTTTGTCGAAATTATTATTATATCAGTGTAATAAGTATTCGTACAGGAATCAATTCAAAATAAAACTTCATATATTCATTTTATTAATACGTTTTAGGGGAAGAAATAATTAAGCAACATTCCTACTTTAGAGCAGAATTGTTAGAGTAGAATTTGCGGAAATTAAAGTTTGTTATTTTTAATGTTTACCTCTTATTTCTTTTCTTACTGGAAACATCAAACCTGTCGTTTAATTTAGACAAATTTCTTCAGTAGACAGGGGAGTTATGAAACCGAGGGCACTTATGAAACCGATATTGTATTGACATAGTATTTCACGTTCAGTACTAATTTCGAAGCCAAACGAGACCGCAATTCCAACCTCCGCTCAACCTCGTCGTCCATCGTTGTGGGTGCAGGTGTACGTGGGCGAGGAAACGCGATAGGTCGATGATTCGAAGCCATCCAACGATTTTCATCGCGGAAGACAACGCGGAGCACGGTCCCTCGCGATGAAGCAATCCGCTTACACGTGGCATTACGAGACCGAGCGTGTAGCCTTTCCCTTCGATCGCCGCAAATGCGAAGAACTCGCGTTAAGCCATGTCATAAGCCTATTAAGGAGCAAGATTTATCATCGGTCGACGACGCTGGATGACTCGTGCGGGCCCTCCTCGCGCCCCCGCGATTTTACGCCCGTCCTTTTACTAATTATTCTCTAAATGCTGGAAACCAGATGGTCCGAGACGCCATCTAACTCGATAGTCGTGCAATTTTAACACGACGATCGCCACGTCACCCACGCATCGGTGACGGTGTTTTACACTGAAGAATCAAAGAATAATAATTCTGAAAGTTGTGCAACAACGGAAACGAATTTAAATAAAATTCATGAATTACGACGAAGATAGAAAACTAAATA